AGTGCAATGTAATATCACATTGTCGCAAGTCTCGTGTGCTGGTTCATGATTACAAGTTGGACAACATTACTTTAAATAGACCTGAAGCTGTATGCGATCTTGGTGTCAGAGAAACTATCTCTTAAAATAAAAAATTTAGACGGACCTAAACTTTCTGTACTTTTCCGGTTTGTTCATGATTTCTCATAAAGTTGGCCACGGATTTCAAATTTGTTTTTACAAGCATCAGGGCCTCAAAAAATGTAACAAAAAACTTAAATAAAGATTTTTAACGTGCATCGTGTATTAAGCGAGATACATTGAAGTGACCCTCTTATAGTAGACAGCCTGTATATCTGAGGCTGTTGTGTAAAATTTCATCTTCACAAAGTAGTATAGCTAGGGCCTTGGAGCCTCCATCATAAAGACATGACCACAAGGCAACTAGCAAGTTTCAAGTGCTATTGTTGTGGAATCGTAGCAGTTGGTATCCTGAACCAAGACAACTTTTTGGTTTTGGTTGCAGTGCCAAGGTCAAAAAAGTTTTTATTTTATTGCTGTTATCTCTCAAAGTTGCTCAAATCCGTCACGTCAATTTGGAGAAAACTTTTTATGCTTATAACTTTGAAACAAGACCTTCTAGAAATGTGTGCTTTGATGAGCTAATTAAACACATTACAGATTTTAAGCTGTCAAAGTATCAGCTATTAACCTCATTTTGTTGTCAAGATATCAGCTATTGAACATTAGGTTTATTTTTATGCGACAAATTTTGTGAATTTTCAATCCCAAATAGCCCAGATTTGAAGTAAACGACTGTCTGTGAAATATTGAGACAAAGGGATACACATATAAATATAATAAAAAATTGCATGTTTCAGTATTACACATCAGTTAGATATAGATAAATCAAAATAAAAATATCTAAAGCTAGGTATTTGGACATGAAAACCATGATGGTGACAATTCTTTTTCTAGGTTCTATAGTTGGTTGGAAATAGCAAAGAAAAATAAAACGTTTCTTCTTTTCTTAAATAAAATTACCATCTTGATATACCAGGAAACTAAATGAAATTTATTTGATTCACTTCAATCTTGGATTTTTCTTCTTCAAAATAGAAAAATAGCTGCTGCTTCATGACAAATTATGCTATTCATTGTCAATTTCTTCTTAGTTATTTTTTACTAATTGCTTACTTGTTATGGTCGATTTTTTAAATAAATATGGAATTGTAAGATAGACCTAAATCATAAATTTGGGAATAGTGTTAAAAAAAATCAGAAATTGTTTGCTTTTGGTTTATTCATAATATAACATCATTTAGTAAGTTAGTAGCTTGGCTTTTGGAATACATTAACATCGATATTATTTTGGTCAAAACTGGAAAAATTAATGTCATCTATTCCAAGATTGCTTCGGGGTGGGAGAGGAGGTAGTCCTGTGAAGACAGGGCCTAGTCCTGGGTTGACCAAAGGTACTCCAGGGTTTAGGAGAGGTAAACCTGGTTTTAGGAGAGGTAAACCTGGTTTTAGGGGAGGTAAACCTGTATTTACGAGAGATCCAGGATAAAGAAGGGACAGTCCTGGGTTAAGACCGTACGATCCCAAGTTAAGTGAGGTTAGTCCAGGTTTCAAAAGATATAGGGTTGGATTGATTGAAGTAATCCCTAAGTTAAGTAGAGATGAACCTGGATTAAGAGCTAGCCCAGTGTTTAGAGATAATCCTGGATTAAGACCAGCCAGACCCGTGCCTAGAGCTAATCCTGGACTTAGAGGATTTAGATCGGCATTAAAAATAGATAGTCCTGAATTAACGGCAGCTAACGCTGAACCAGCTCCAGCGTATGCCAATGATCCAGAACTTTCCAAAGGTCCATAACTTCCCCAGTTTCCATAACCTGCCCATGGTCCATAACCTCCCCAGTTTCCATAACCTGCCCATGGTCCATAACCTCCCCAGTTTCCATAACCTGCCCATGGTCCATAACCTCCCCAGTTTCCATAACCTGCCCCTGGTCCATAGCCTCCCCAGTTTCCATAACCTGCCCATGGTCCATAGCCTAACGAAGGTCCGTATGGTGCCCATGGTGCAGCATTAGACACTATCATTTTGTCGCCATCGTTGTCGGTATTTACAGCGATTGCGACTCCGTCGCCCCTCTTGTCGTATGATCCTGGTACTGATACTGCACAAGCCACTAGGGCAAGTAAAACAACCACCTGTAATGTTAAATTATTATTATTACAAAAGCTTTAAAAAAACAGAAACATCTGTTATATCCAAAAATACAAACAAAACTTATTTAAAAAAATGCTTTGAAAACTTATTGTTTCAACATTTTTTTCTTTGATTTATGTCTATTCCTTTAGAATACCGTTCAAAACAATTTTCTGCAATTCATATAATTTACAAGGAAAATTTCTTTGGAACAAAATATTGAATCGCTTTATTTATAAAGTTGACCCGTGGAAGAGATATCTGGGATAGGCAAAATAATACAATTTTTTAACACATATTAAAAATAATCATATAATATAAAATTTATACTTACGGTCAGTTTTTGAACCATGCTGAAGGATATGTTGCTTGACTGTGACTTCCAAGGAAACACTGACAAGTTTAAGAAACCCTTTGCTTTATATACGCAAAAAAGAATTGGAAAGATACATATAATAGTATAATCACTCACGAAATTACATAAAATACAAATATTACTTATTTCATATCGATAAAAGTTGAAATTATTCTTTTTTTATATTTCGCATATGAGAAATCATTGGTTTATCTGCACATAAAATTATATAAGACCGTAAGAAACATTGCCTGAAAATTACACCGTTTTAAATAATAGGATTTGGTAGAAATCTTTATGAAAAGAATCCTAGTTTTAGTACAGAAATATATTTTTTTCTGTTTAGCATAATCGTAGTCTTCTTTGCTGTCTTGATATCGTAGCTTTATTGTATTTTTTGAAAATTTTTAAATTATTTACATTTATTTTAATTTTGAAAAATTAAAGTACATATTTATATCGTCTGCAAAAGGAGCCGCAATACATTACACTCTTTTTTTAACACCCTGTATACAAAAAAGTAATAATAATTAGTTTTTGGATAACCATTAAAAGTCCTGGATTATTCTTTACAGTTAGACATTATTATTGCAAACATGAATTACTTTAATATTAGACCAATAAAAATATACATCGGTATGTATTTACATAATTAGTATATAATAAAACCTGAATATATCTTTCCAGAGGGTGATTCTATTCAAAATAAAGTTTTAATAATAAAGTTATGATAACGTCTAAATTGATGTCGCGTATCCAAAAAAGTTACATCTTGTAAACCGAGACCCAAATCTTACAAGAGTGAATAAAATAGAATAAAACGCCGCTTAGGCGTACTAAAAAAATAGGGGGTCTATGGGTACTGCAAACCCCTCTCCCCTCCGTTTTCGCATTGATTTTTAAACCAAAATTCTACAAAAAGTGTGCTGACTTAAGATCAAATTATCTGTTAAATTTCAAATAAATATCTTTTCAATCACCGGAGTTATCAATAAAAATCATTTTTTAAATTTTAATTTTGACACCCCGTATTTTGAAAATGGGGCTCCGATATGAAAAGTGGCATAAGAAAAGTCCCATTATTTTAGTGCAAACAATATGTTGTTAACTGCTTGACCTACTAATTTGTAACACCCTGTATAGTGAATATGTATTTTATATTATCTTCACTTCCACAATGATTTATTAATTACATGTTTTTTCCTTAAATGTGATAAGTTTTATAGCATTTCTAATGCAGGGTGTCCCGAAATTCATGCAAAAAATTTGGTCACAGATTCTTAAGATAAATTTAGGGGACCCATATTTTTTATTTTTGCCAAGTGGCCCCCTCTTTCGGAGTTACAGCCCCCTGAAGTCCGCCACTAAGAATAATCTTTTGTTTATATCTCAGAACCGTGTTGTACGAGAATCACTAAATTTGGTACACAGGGGTTTTATGACATGTGGAAGCTCACAGTGCTACGTTTTTTGGCGGGGAACCCCTTAAGACAATTTTTCGTGGGCCCCCTCTTTTGGAGCCAAAAAATTTTGGTAACATATTTAAATTTCTTAAAAATTATTAGTCCACTAGAAAGCCATTAAATTTAGAAACTTTTTGCCTCTTTATACTTTTTTCGTAAAACGCAATGTTTTCGAGAAAAATGTTAAAATGTGATCGAATACATATCGTGATTAACCATTTTCCTCAAAAACATTGGGTTTTACGAAACAAATATCAAGAGACAAAAAAGTTTCTAAATTCAATGGCTTTCTAGCTAACTAATAATTTAAAAAAATCAAATTTGCGACCAAATTTTTCTGGTTCTAAAGACAAGGGGCCCACGAAAAAGTGTATTAAGGGGCTTTCTCGCCAAAAAGCGTAGCACTGTGATATTCCCCATGTCATAAGACCCCTGTGTACCAAATTTAGTGATTCTCGTACAACATGGTTTTGAGATATAAAAAAGACTCCTTAGGGGGCAGATTTCAGGGGGCTGTAACTCCGAAAGAGGGGGTCAGTTGGCGAAAAGAAAAAATACGGGTCTCCTAAATTTGTCTTAAGAATCTATGGCCAAATTTTGTTGCATGAATTTCGGGACACCCTGTATACCGGAGCACATATATTTTTTTATTTATCCATTTAAATAAATATCTATTTACATTTTATTTACAACTTATTATGANTTTATTTATCTATTTAAATAAATATCTATTTACATTTTATTTACAACTTATTATAAATGTAAAATTATAATCTCTTCGGTTGTATTTTTTAGGTCCATAACATCAGTGACCTGAAGAGCAACTCTTCAAAAGGTCAAGTGAATGCTAAAATTTCATAAAAATTGCTTTTTTTTAAATTCAAGGGCTTTATAACTCACTTATGTACCTCCTTACTAAAAGACTATTGTTAGTTTTTTATTATTAAAATTAAAACAAAAAGTAATATTCCTATTTCATATTTATTGTTTTTACTATACATATCATCAAAAATTTCAGCGTTGAATATCAACCAGGTAAATTATTGCTCATCGGATGTACTATCAGTAGATCCATTAGGATAGAAATATCCAGGTCCCAAAGGTGTTGCAAACGATCCAGAGAATCTTAGTCCCGAACTTTTATTCTCGTCGGAGAAAGACTCAGAATTATCAGTACTTTCACCAAAATTCGGAAAACTTGGTTTCGAATCCTCACCTCCATCAAAAGTTTTGTCAAAGTTTGGAAAACTTTGTTTCGAGTTTCCATTCCCACCAGAAGAAGGCCCACCGAAATTGGGAAAACCTTGTTTCGAATTTTCATCATTTCCGCCAAAGGAAGATCCAGAATTATCATTACTTCCGCTAAGATTGGGAGGACCTCTATCTCTATTTGGCGTGGAAGAAGATTTCGTTGAGGCTACTAAAATGATTAAGATAGCCACCTGAAAATTACCATAAATAAAAAATTTAACTGTCAGTTTTTAGTTAACATATACGTATTGTGATTGTTATATTTTCCCTGAAAATATATTCAAAAACTTACAATTGGTTTACAAAATATAGTGAAGCAAAACATAGTTACTTTTAATTCAAGTAAAATACTAATATCTCATAGAAATTGTTTGCATTATATAGGTAGTACTGGAAAAGCACGCCACCAAAAAAAACTACATGTAGATTGTAGAGAATCGTATCATTCCTTAAACATGACCATTGTTATATTTACGATCAGATTAAAGAGAAGTAATATTTTTTTATGTGTTTATGTTTAAGCATGACATTTACACAGTCACTTAATATTTCTCTTTAATTTGAACGGTGCATGGAAAGTAGTATATTATTATTTAAATCATACCCAAATAGAAAATCCATATTAAAAGAGAGTTCCAACCACCATACAGATAAGACCAGGGTGGTAGATGGTAGATAATCATGGTCATATAGATAGTTGCAGCATGTGTTATCCAATACCCAGGCAGCTAACTGAAAATTGAAGATGAATTGTATTTTTAAGTTTAGCTTAACAGAAAGGGAAGAAATATGTAATTGGAGGTGAAATAGATTCAAAAGAATATTAAATAAACCGTAAAAATAAAATAGTAAACCGTAAAAATAAAATAAAATATAAACACTTATTGTCAGTTTATAAATCATTTTGAAATATGGACAATGCCGACATGGCGAAATTGGTCTCTTTATATATAACAAAAATAAAGACAACGTCTTTATTACAGTTCTGGTATTACTTTGGATAGTTTTAAACATTAAAACTTAATAAAATTATTAAGTCAACAAATAATTCGTTATATTATTTTTCCATGCAAAATGTACTTTATTAATTATTATTAAAACTTAATTATACTCTAAATTCACTTTTACCGACTTCAAAACCTGTAATTTTTCTTTGAATTTCGATTTTTGTTTTATATATATCTACGTTTTATTACGTCTTCTAAAGTGTGTTAATCTTTTGTACAACATAATCTGACAACTTATTGTGAGTTTATTATTGAAATTACAAAAAAGTTTTTAATAATAAACTCAAATATGTTGTCAGATTATAGTGACTAACCCTGTACAACGCTGTTTTGTCTACATTTTTAATCCCAAAGCAAATAAATGTAAATAAATACGTAAAAGACTACTACTACTTTCGTTTCAGAAAAAAGGGAAGCAATGACAAAGAAGTTTTACACGAGAGCATATTGTATAATAATAAACAAACAAGGATTATTAATTGCAATAATTATGTGGCACGATGAATTATTGTGTGTAACCCGCACCTTCGCCATTTCATACAATCTGTTGTGTAATATTTCCTCTTCCAGCTTTCTTTGTATAAAAGAAATACCGTGAAGTAAAATAATGCACTGTTCGTTCAAAATTGATCATTACTTTGAAATTTATAGCAACATAATATAAATCAGTAGTAGCAGTCACAATTCATGACTTGATATGTGGCTCAAATTTAAACATTTAAATTAAATATTTTCGGAAAATAATATATTTTTTGGAAGTTGAGAAACTATTTACAAGAATCAAGTGTCAACAAAATATGCATAGATTTCAAGATTTAGTTTAAAATTTGTTTAGTAATTCTAACGATTTAATAAATTAATAAATCTTCAAGTAATTTTTTTCTAAAAACTCAAATTGTATTTAAGTTAAATTTAACATATTTTTGTTTGTCTATATTCCATAGAGGTATAAGATATCATTTATTATCATAGGATAAGATATATTTATGGTTAAGCAAAACTAAATTTGTAAAATTAATTTCTTGACCAAAACTTTTGGTAGTTTGTTAAAAAAAGTTAGTAATTACAGATAAGATTAATCTAAAAAAATATTTTAAACATATAAACATTGGTTACTAATATTGAATTGTAGAATAAAGCTACAGGGAAACAATTCTGTTGGCACAAAAGTTATATAACAGATATAGATTAAAACAAACAAAAAAGAGCTCAAAATAAATTTAAAGTCTTTCGCCCACCCAAAAAATCACTTACCTACTATATGTTTTGTATCTGTATGTGGATAACAGTTCAAAACATTCAGTCATTCATTCGAAAGTTTCCTGTATTAGATTTTGCTACGAGTGAATAATATAATCCAGTAGTCCAAATGCAGTATATATTCCATATTTGGTTAAACTCTTATTTAACATACTACAGTAAAGTTTTTGTAATAATTATAGCAATGTAAGAATCCGATTTCCCTAAATTATGCATTTTTATGAGTTTGTTTGTGAGAGGCTTACAAAGACACCAGCACTGACTGCTTTATATCACTTCCTCTGATACAGCTAGGCGAGGCTTGCGATTTTTACCCATTCATCCACATATCCCAACCCACGTGGACACGGGAACAAAACATCGGCATAAATATAGAAATGTAACAATAACCAGTGTTACGTTTTCCGCCTACCACGTATTTAAAATTGTTAATCACTTAACGGTTCTGTAGCGGATTTGAGAAAAAAGTACTGAGGTAATATGCGATATTTTACATATTCTTGAAAGCCTTTATCAGCTTTACTAAAAATGTATAATTCCGTCTCGCATTGAAGGTCGTTCGGTTAGCTGTATATAAAGCAGGGTTGATCTATATATAAGTAATTAATACCTGGTTTCTCCGTGACATGTTAAAACACAATACGTAAGATGAACAGTCTGGTAAGGCTCCTCTTTTAACTATTTACAAGAGCTACTAATTTTACTAAACCCCCTGCTTTTATTAGCTAGACACTTACTTTAACAAATGTCAGTTCTTCCAATAAATGGGAACCACCTTAAATTTACAATGGCTGTAATAATTGTCATAAAAAAATAACATATTCTAAAGAATTTACAAATTACAGTCAAATCATAAACATATTTTTTTTATCTTGAATTTCTTTGTAAGTTTTTTGTGTATCCTCTAAATTAATTTAAATTTAATTTTTATCCATGTCTACTTGATTCAAAGAGGTATTACATACTAAAACTTGGTACATAGGAAATATCTTATTATTTTGTAAAAAACTCTACTGCAATTTACTTGATTTTTTAGGTATTAGATATTTTTTAAATCTTATCATCTCACTTTGTTTAATTTTAATTTGTCGGAACTATTAACTTAAACTTATTAAAAGAGAATAAAAAACACAAGAGCTAATAATAGAGTACATGTTTCTTGAAAATACTAGTATCACTTACATATATCTGACATACAGGGTATGTTTACGGACAGCAGTATGTTAATATACACATAAAAGTGAAAAAAATGTTATCATTTTGTGATTGGAAGAATAGTTTTCAATACATTGAAGTTTAAAAAATTACATTTAAATATGGGCATTACTATTTCTTTAAATGTTAAAAGATCGTTAGTTGACCTTCTCGTTTATCAGACCTAACTTTTTTATGGGTCTATTTAAGGTTTTTGGTGTACAGAATACTACAATTTACTCAGGAGACTTGCTAGAATACATCTTTTAGACATTCATAGAAATAATACCACAGATTATACATAATTATGTAATTCAGTTTGTGGAGTTCAACAATGTGCAAATGTGTACTTAGTAAGTAATGGCTATCATTTCCAATAGGTACTATAATTATTAATCTTGTTTTCTTTTGTGTTTGTATACCTATTTGTTTATTAGATACGTTTAATAAAAAAAATCGAATTTCAGTTCTTTTAAACCCGATATCTTGAAAACTGTTTATCAAAGCACAAAACGGTAAATTTATTGGTCGATATGCTATTTTATTTCTTGTTATGTTCCTCTATTATTATTATTAAAAAAACATTTCCTATGTTTTTAAAACAGATGATATATTTTAGGTTATGTTATTATCCACTTGAAAGCTTTTAACACATATTCCTACATCTACTTTTTATATTTAACTTCAAAATTAATTTTATAATAATTGAGACATGTCCTCCTGTAATATTGTTATTAGATATCTGCAATTACTATATTTCCTTAATTTGCTATTGGTTTTTCAGGTTTACTTAGATTTTGTAATGATAAACGCAATAAAGTAATGTAACTTGAAGAAGGGCACTCCTTAGATTTGAAATTATTCAAAGAATTTTATAATTAGTTTCAATGTCTTTCATTTAATATGACAAACGAGAAATACGACATGACGCAATTTTCTCAGGGTATTTATTGTTTCACATACAAGCATTATATGTAATTGCTACAAATATGATTAATTTTTATTGAAAGTCGAAAGTTACTTTCTTCATCAGACATAATATTATAGAAATATGTCTAAAATTAAAATACTCAAACATGTAAGTTTATGTAAACTACTTAACCCAAAAATAATGTGTCTAAAAACTTGAAATACTCTAAAAATTAAATAAACAGTGTGAAAATGATTTTGAAATCCATTTCTTTTTAAGGTGGTAACTGTTTTCGCCGTTTTGGCGACTGTAACAAGCACCTTCGGCTCCGGAATCGGACTGCTCCACCCTGGACCCCTGGGTCCTTCCGGAATAGTTACAGCTGCAGGTGCAAGCGGGCCTTCAGGAATAGTTACTGGGGCGGGAGCCGCAGGACCCTCTGGAATTGTCACAGGCGCGGGAGCCATCGGACCAACTGGACCTAACGGAGCTATTTTAGCTGCCCCAGCTGCTGTCATAGGTGCCCCTGCTGTGATAGCTGCTGCTCCATCACTAGTCGCGGGATCCGCCTTAGCAACGGGCGCCGCGCTAGCCGCAGCCCAGACATCCGCAGCCGTTCAAACCTCAGCAGCAATTCAAGCCTCAGCAGCCATCCAAGCTTCAGCTGCGGCCCAAGCGTCAGCCGCCGCGGAAGCCTCAGCTGCCGCGCAAGCCTCAGCCGCAGCCCAAGCGACAGCGGCTGCGCAGGCGTCCGCAGCAGCCCAAGCATCTGCCGCAGCTCAAATACAGGCGGCCTCCAGAATAGCAGCGGCCAATGAAGTTGCAGTTGCAAGTCGAGCTGCCGAAGCAGCCTACGTCGCGGAAACCAGTCGTCAGGTAGCAGTGGCACAAGTAGCAGAAGGTACAAGGCAAGGACTTGCAGCTCAGGTAGCGGATCAAGCCGGCGCAATTGCAGCGGCCCAAACGGCGGCGGCGGTACAAGCAACGGCTACAGCCCAAGCAAACGTGGCGGCTCAGGCAACAGCGCAGGCTCAAGCGGCAGCCGCGGCCCAGGCAAACGCAGCGGCCCAGGCAAACGCGGCGGCTCAGGCAAACGCAGCGGTTCAGGCAAACGCAGCAGCCAACGCAGCTGCCACAAACTTAGCGGCGGCCAATATAGCGGCGGCCGCCAATACGGCTGCAGCCGTTAATTTAGCAGCCTCTACTAGGATCGTAACTCCGGTCGTAGCAGCCGGGCCCATTATAGCAGGGCCAGTCGCAGTGGCTGCTCCCCTCGCCATTGGCGCTACTATTGCTGGCCCTGCTGCGGCTACGGTGGTCTCTGGAGGTGCTCTGGGGGCGGCTACAGCGGCTGGACTTGCTAAGGCTGGCATCATTGCTGCTGGTGCCCGTGGACATGGTTGGTAATCGACTGATCGTAGAAAATATTCATATTGTTTTTTTCTGTCTCTTAAGCGTTTAGTTATATTTATGTATATTTATGTTAGTATTTTTTAATAAATATAAATTTGACACCAACTGTAATGTTATTAAATTTAATCTCTTATCTTTTAAATTTATCCTAAAAAATATTTTGTTTACTCTTTTACAATATTCGTATTTTTTAAACAGAATTATCTTTGTCTTAGGTGATATTCCTAAATGTACAGATTGTTTTGTAATAAAGCGTTGAATACTTGTATATTTATTTTAGTACTAATAGTTAAATTTGGAAACCTGCAATTGATACGGGTCCGTTCCCCCTCGTTGAAAAAACTGGAATTAAACAATTTTTAGAAATGTTCATAAAGTCACAATGCGAAATCGATTGTAATATAATTATAAATTTTACAGTTAGAGTTTACTCGAATAGGAAAATCAGCATAATTTTATTTACGTTAAATTTTTCGAAAATCTAGCTGACGCAGATGGACTTGTATGTGCTGTTAGAATAGATAATATTTGCTTCGTTAACTCTTAATATACATGGTAAACAGTGCATTTTAAGGCTTCATGTCGTCAATATGGAACGCTGACTGATGGTAATATGGACCTGAATTTCATATAGATAGGTACAGTAGATATAATCTTATTTAAATTTTATATTAAAAACATGTAACATATTCTTCATAATTTTTAAGTATATACAAGTGTATTAACGTAACACGCTGCTAATATTATACATAATTGTATTATGTATTTTAATAAATAAATAAATAAATATTGTTCCTATAACATGTGACTGAAAACGCTCCGTTTTCGAGACTGCATATGGGTTTAAAAAATATCACATTTTTTAAATATCTTTTAAGATGCTTCGATTAGGTTTATGAAACATGTGCTAATAAATTAACTAATTTTGCTGACGAGTTGGTTTAAAAATCCAATGTTTTGACAACACCAAAAATTTTGGAAATTGGATAAGTAGATTCAATTTGAGTTACTGTTTCTAAGAAAAACGTCTTTCATTTCATATTTCGTTAAATTAAAAATAAGCTTGTAACACATTTGAATAAATTGAAAATAGTGTTCTTGTCGCAAAAAGTATAGAATTTTTTTATTAGAAATATAATTTTGATAAGATTGTGATTAAGGAACGTCCATAAAATCATTAACGTAGGATTTTTTTATTTTCTGAAGTAATAGTAGCTTTGTAAAATTTTTTTTAATTCGAATGGCCACACAGTGTATTCTTAATAAAAAGTTCTTTTATATTTTTTAGTGAGATGGATATTATTGGAGTTATTTTCGATTTATTCAACTATGTTTCAGTTTTTTTGGGAAATACCAATTGGAATTAAATGTCATTTTCAAAATTCCAAAATTTTAAATGATGTCGAAAGTTTAAGGTTTTAGTGCTTTCCAATATCTCCAGCACTTGTTATGAACAAATAAATGTAATAGTTTTTTAAATTTCAGCACCGTTTCGAAAAGCGAAGCACAAAGCAGAACAATATTCTCTACCAGATAAATTAAAAAATGCACATTATCCCTTAAAAAAAATAACCATCATCTGTCATTAAAGTATGCGTTGAAAAACAAGTGGGGGGGGGCAAATACCAGTCAATAGTATTTTTGGAGTCATTAATCCTAATTTTTTGTTTTTTGTTTTGAAAACGCACAAAAAATGGCGGAGTTTTAGAATACTCCCGCTCGGTATAGCATAAAATATTAACTATTTAATAATAAAACATTTAATTGCACAAATTACATTAAAACACACCAGATTAACAGAAGGTAATAAAATTTATTTACTGCTAAATTAAAAAAAAAAGTCCACAGCTTATGTGGAAGTGGGTGTAGGATATTATTAATGTTTAATGTCCATAATCAATAAATAAAGAACTTCTAGAAATGTCCATTAACTTGGCTCAGTTTTATTTGGTACCTAAACGCAATGACGCAGTAGCATACGTATATCTAAAAAAATTAAAAGAATATACTGATTTTATTGAAACTAAAACTTTACTTTTCTACATCAAGAAAATATAAGAAATACGGAAAGCAAAATAATAAATTAGTCATTTAAAAAATTAAAAATGAAACTTTGACACACTGTAATAATTATGTTGTGGTTTTGAAGTACTAGGTGCTGTTGATATTTTAGCAGGCGTCATTGTTTAAATGTATATAAAAAAACTCATCACCATCTAAGTTTTATCCGTATTAGGTAAGTAAATATTTGCACATATGTACACTGTACACCAACAATTTTATGTCCATTATCATAATCTCCATTAAGAATAGAAAACTATCACTTTATTAAAACTTAATTTTAACGCACCTTTTCAACATTAAGCAAAAACTGATGGCAAACTGTAAACTTGATCTTAATTCAATCAATTCCTTATGAAATTAACATTCATTTTGCATACATTAAGTCTTTTTGGAATGCGTACTTAATTATTTTAATAATCTATAATATCTCAGTTACTTACCTCGTTAAAATGAAATATATTAATTAATGAGTAGTTTGCTGTATTGCGAAATATAACTATTCCACACCCTAAGAAAGTTGTGACAGCTAAACAATGATAATGATGCAAATATTAATACAAATTACAGAATTTTAAGAAGCAACTCAAAAATTTATAAATTGTACCATCTTTTTTAATACTGGATTGTAAAGATGTACCTAGCTGCTATGCTTATTTTTTTCTCTACACTTTAATGAAAAATCTCTATTAATTACAATGTACAAGTAATTATATTAATATGTAACCATATTTTGAAACACCATAAGAAAATGAAGGTCAATAATAACTATATATACTGGGGTGCGTGCTTTTCTCGTTGCATTGTTTGACTCCTGAACCGAACACGATCACCATGAACGCCCTGGTAAGTTTTTTCTGTTTATAGTTGTAGGACGCCAAGGTTTCAAACGGATTTGAATAGATTTGAATTTTTGCCTATATTTAATGTATAAAAAATGTGAATTTTACTCGAAATCCATAAACGATATCGAAATTTTGTAAGAGCTAAAAAATCTTTTAAAATAGTGCTTATTTTTTAACATATAAATTCTGTCGTCATTGGCATACACACAAAAAAGTTACGGATAGTCAGTGGCGCACAGGCACTAGAAATAGAACATCCTGTATATGTATTCTCTCCAAATTCTATATTTACCTTGCCCTTATATAAAAAAATAAGTGTACCAAATTTGAAGTTTCTAAGAAAAATAGTTTTCAAATTATTTGAAAAAATAGGTTATCTAACATATTGTATATTTAGAAGGCTATATCTCAGTAGGCGTGCACCTTTGTATATATGTAAGTTAGGCTAAATAGTCTTATTTTCATCCAAGGAACCTGTAGTCAAGCGTTGTCCAACCTTTTCAGGGACGCCCTGTATATCTATATCTGATTTAAAAAACTATATATTTCATTAATATTTAAAAAAAGTTGTATCCCAAAATATTTTCATTTTTTCACGTTGTTGTGTAACACCCTGTATAGTTTTAAATTTATCTAACCGTATCATGTTTTACAAATTGCTAATTTGTACCAAATTGTTAAAAGCTAAGCAAAAAAGTCAAGACAATATTTACATTAAAAAAAAAATTTTTATTCTCCAGTGGCGTATCGTAAGTTTTGAGGAAAATGTAACAATCGATCGGTAATTACATTTCCAATTAAAACTTTTCAGATCATCGCCGTCTTCGCCTGCATGGCAGTAGCGTCCGCCTCCCCCTCAGGATGGGGCCTAGGGGCCCCCGGAGCGATCCTTGCGGCACCCGCCGCCGGCGCCCTTTGGGGTGCCCCAGTCGCCGCTGGTATCCTAGGCGCACCCGCCATCGGTCTCGGTGGGGCTGGTGTCGTTACCCGTGGAGGCGGCGTCGTCGGAGTCAGTGCCGCCGGAGCCACTGTCGCCGGCCCACCAACCGCCCCTGCTACTATCATCGGACCATCTGGAACTGTCAGCGCCAAGGGGCTCTGGGGACCAACTCTGGCTGGAGTCGCTGGTGCTGGCTGGTAGACCTAAAGCAATGCTTATAAACTTTACGTATTAGGTTTAGAACGTGGTGATGTCGTCCTTCAGCTAATGCGTTAACGCGATAATTACCGCAACGAAAGACTTGGTTCATACCGATAATTGCCTCGATACCTGACCCTTTTGTTTTGTTTTGTAAATAAATAACTATAGAGCAAATACTAGACAATAAATATATAATTCGTATGTGTCTATTATATTTTACTTAACCCTGCACTGAAATAATTTGAAGAATTTCATCACAGAGTAAGCATAAATGAACAAAAAGGTGTATTTTACAAGGGCGTAAGATTAACAGTTTTCAAAATACAGCGAGTATTAATATTGGGGAGTTTTATCACAACGTGACAACATCGCTTAACCTAATGTTACACAGCTGATGCACACCACGTGTGCACGCGGCAGACTTGTCCTACGGAATAACAAAAATGTTGCAGATTTTAATAATTTCTTTTCTCGAAAATGGTTGAGTTTAGGACCCATGTCATATAAGGTTTTTTTGTTTATTTTAATGTATTCTATCGCATCTTAAAATTAAGTCAGTCAATCTTCTAACACCCTGTATTTATATAGGTATAAATATTAGTATTTATCAAAATGTTTTTCCAGATTGTCTAAAAATTTGAAAAGTAGTTCCAATATATAAAAAAGGAAATACAACAAATTCGTCTAATTATTGACCTATTTTTACGTTATACCCTATTGTGCAAAGATTTTTCAAAATGTCTTAAAAATACAAATAATAATTTTCAAAAATTGAAAATCTTTACAGTGATAATCAGTTCGGATTCAGAAATAATCGTTCTACAATTTTGGCAACAGATAATTTGATTAATGAAATCAATTCAGGCTTTGAGCAAAAGCAATTCTTATATTCATCATCTTTACACCCTAGAAATCTTTTAATGGCATGAATTTCTTATAAACAAATTGCATTTTTATGGCTCTTCAACGCCTAATATTGAACTTATAGCTTCGCATCTTACCAATAAACTACAATACGTAACTCAAGATAATCTTAGAGTACCTTGTTTCACTCTCTGTGCAGGAGTTCTTCAGTGCTTGGGCCTGCGCTGTTCTTGTTTTATGTCGACGATCTGTAGATTGTACTTTATTAAATATTCGATTTATTGATGAAACAAATATTACCGGGCGAGGTTTTAAATTAAATGATTTAACTTGAGAAAGTAATAGTGAAAAATTCTCTGATTCATATCAGCCGGTGGTGTAGATACTATAAAATACTGCTACTGAATTCCCAAAATTTCCACGTCACAAAGTTTTTCGAAAATTTGATTATTGCTTTTGATTCCCAAAAAAATGATCTCTTATACAGGGTGTCCCACTAAGGTTGACGAGGTACGATATTAGGGAAAGCATAAGCCCTAGATCATCGGGAAAGACATTTTGATCAATAAATCAATCAAGAGAAATCGCTGGAAATAGTTTTCAAGCTCGGTCGCTAGGGGGCGCAATCTACATACCCAAACATAGAGTTGAATTTTTCTTAGAAATGTTTCCTATATCCCTATTCAGGTATATTAAATAGTAAGTACAAATATGGATAATGTCTGATCAGAAAACTTTTTCTCTGCCAAGATCGTAAAATTACTCAAATAAACCCTTTGGCAAGCTTTTGTTAGGCTCATTTTTTATTTTTGCACTTCTTGTAAAATAATAACAATAAATACAATTTAAAGCAAGCAGTATTTACCAACTTCAGTTGCAGATATGTTATTTGCAGGCAACTTGCCCGAGACGACGACTTCTTATCTGCATCAGCAACTTGTCTAGACCACCCTGTATGTAACAACTTGTAGAAGTGTAACCTCTTTTTGTGCATTGTCATGAACAATTTTCTGGACCGGCAAAAGTGTGAAAGGTATATACTTACTTGCCTTTTTTTTTCGCTAGCGCTTTCGTTATACCCTGATTTCTTTTGTTGGAAGCAAATTTTTGCGGTTTCCTTTATAGACTGTTACACAGTTTTCTATTTCGTGTTAGCACAACGTTTTTTGCTCACGTTAAGCTGATTTGGAAGCTGAAATAAAAAACTAGGTATGTACTACGAGCGTGAATCCGAAATCGTTCCATTTTTAGGTGTTTAAAGAAAGTGGAATAACTATATTATTAATTATCCCGCCCGTTTCGCCCTTCCACAAATAAGATCCACTTCTTATTTGTGGAAGGGTGAATAGCGACCTCTAAAAAATTTTTTTGAGCTGATTTTTTGAGGAGACTCTTAAAACATGATAAACTAACATATTTTCACAAGAGACACTTGTACAAATTCTTGACAAACTTCGGAAGATGTTATGCGTTCCGAAAATGGTGGTAACAATGCTACAAGGGTTGTTATTAACGGAAAGGAAGTTAAATGTGATAAAATAGAAAACGAAATGTGTATTATTATAAATGTAAATGTTAATGTTAATAAGTAAATAAATTAAATTTGATTTATTACTGGTTTATTATTTTTTCCGTATTCTACAAGTGAAATAGAGTTACTTTATTCCAATAGTGGATCACTTCATATGTGTCGATAAAAGACGATTATAAGGTGATTGTGGATAAAATATATTTTTTCAATTTTCTGTGGGCTCTTGCAATGAAAAATAATTACTACGTAATATATTTTGAACTACTCTACATTGCTATTGTTATCATTAGCCCAACGTAAATTTGAAGTGGTATAACTTACAGAATTACATAGTTGCATGTCCCAAAATAAGAACTGATTGAATCAAACATTATATAACCTTTTGGTTGGCGACTGAATGTTTAAGACAGCTAATTTAAAAACAGTTTAGTGGAAAATTTTCATTATCGCAACGAAATTGCAACCATTTTTCAAATCAATAGGTAAGTGCCTACATAACATGTAAAAAGTAAAAAATTTTGTTACGAATATTACACAACGGACAATGTACAGATCAGTAACCGCAATGAGAATAATAAATTGAATATGAGCAAGAAATAACGATCATAATACAGAACGGATTAACAGTTCCAGTAAAAAATTCTCTGTAGGAAATATAAAGATAATTATTCGAAGAAAGTTATTTTATAAGACTCAACATAATAAACTTTTTTTTCACAGAAAACGAAGAAAGTAAGAACAACTTAAATAATTTCTGTCTTTAAGTGTACAATGTTAACCAATAGATACCGGACGTAAATAACCTCAAGTTGGTTTCCTGCCATTTTTATATGCCCGAGAAAAGAAATAAACGGCAATAAGAGTAAATAAAAAATTAAGGAAACAAATATTTACACTGCAACGACCAGTAAAGGATTCGGTTTAGAACGTTTTTACATAACCAACATTTCTAACTCGGTACGCAGCTGAATCTACTTCAAATACATAAAAAGAAAACAGTAGTTAACAAGTACAGGGTTAAATGTGGATTGCAAATGTTGAACTACTTTATCTGTTTTATTTTCTTGTTGCTAAACGCACAAACGTAGCCACTAATTGGTAGAATTTTAATACGATAACATAGACAAACTATGCAAACCAATAATACCATTTTTTAACTGATTTTTTTTATACGTTTGAGGTTTGCTTCGCAATCCTAAAGTTTTGATTCGATGTATTATTGTACCAGTATGATATAACTGAATAAGTACCTCAGTAACATGCAAATATTAAATATTCAATAATAATAATGTTGAAAATAAATAAAATTCTGATTAAAACATAGTGAACTACAGACGAAATCATAATAAACTTATAGGGTTCTCTGTATGGAAGTATTTGCTTTAAACCAACTTTATAGAAGAACGAACAATTAAATTGGTTAAAAACCACTTGATTTTCACCAAAAAAAAACGATGTAGTAACATAACCTTTCGTAAGGCTGTTGTAAGAAAAGTATAATACATTATTTTTTAGGTTTACCAGAACGTAATTCCACATCGTTTATGAAATAGTTTAAATAACAATTGACTTAGGCACATCGATAAAAAAATTGAGTGTTTTTAAAATTATGTTGTGTGTATGTTACATAATGTAATTAAAATATGTATAAGACTTTCATATTTAGATATTAGGTACAGGGTCTTGCAAAAAGTAATGCAAGTTGTTGTAACACTGATACTCGTCTGTCAAACATATGTCACGGAAAAATTTGAATAGACTGATGTATATTTAGAGCAAAAATACATTACAGCTTCTAGAAGCTACTTCTTTCTTGTTTTTAACTGAAGTTAGTTAAAATGTCAAATTCTTCTCTTTTACAACATATATTTGAATCAACACAGACACAAAAATGTTAAAGAAATAGGCAATAATAGAAGCTAAAAAGTTAATCTTGGTTCAACCCAAAAAATAACAGGGAAGAAATCATTTTTGAATTGACTAATTAGGCTTTTCAAATAAAAGAAATTGCCGAAAAGAAGCTTCCATAATTTTAACTAAAAACTATATCTACATTATATTTTTTAAAAACTGTAGTTCTCTATACGAATATAATTTGAAATTTTCTTTATTGCTTTGCTATACTCCACTCACCCCTGACATTATTGAAATAACATTTCCGAGTCTAGTTCTAGAAATTATTAAAACTTTTTCAGAACCCAAGCATCCGTATATGTAGAAAAAATTGATACGATCCTAACAAACTACAAGCCGTATAATACAGTTGCAGCCGATTATCCACGGGTTGGTTTCTCCTCAGTTTTTTTAACTCTAGTGGAAATTAAATTTAGAAGAAACCAAATGTGTGTCACATGTATAGATTGTCCCAATTTTTGTGGACATTGTCGCTGGAAGGTAAACGTTTTCTTATCTACCACAAAGAAAAATGGAATTCGTACTGTTACTCAAGCTTTCGTATAAGATATAAAAGCTGGACCAGTCGCTATCAGAATCATATCAACGATCCCACAAGCACAACCATGAACGCTTTGGTAAGATAACATTCATATTTTATCCTCAAACTTATTTTAATAATAATTGATAATACCAAAATTGGTCAAATTTGTGCAGAAACGATATAAATAACTCGGAAATTAATTAATTTAACATTTATTTTCTGGATAATGGATTACTTTAATTTGCCGGAAAATAAGGCTTTTATAAACGTCTCATCCTCATATAAATATTTCATATGCGCTTCTATTTTTTTTAGACTTGTCTTGACTTGAAATTACAAACAAATTTGATATTTTTTAATTATTTGTAGAAGAGAATGGATAGTTTATACGCTTTAATTTACTTGATTCAGCTTAATGAACGTGGTTTGTAATTTTATAATGCAATTAATTGACTATAACAATTTAAATTTGATACAGATAGTTAGAACTGATGTGGAATTTTCAACACCTATAGTTTAATGAATTTCTTTGTTTATATCTTCTTTTCATTTACTTTTCTTTCAATGCGGATGATTCCTGAATTTGTTAAATTATATAATTTTTCGTAGGTTTTTTTAATTAAACTTTAACTGTAGGATTGTCTAGTGTCTAGCTTGTCTTTAAAAAGTTGTAAATTGTGAATTATATTTTTTGACTGTTTATTTGTGGTACAGTTTTAGATTTTGTTCTCTTGATTGAGTATGTTGTCACCCATCAAAAATAACAAAAAATAGTTAGTAGGTATTCTTGCACCAAAATGGTCAGTCAACGTTTTTTTACAAAACAATTTTTGCATAACAAAAAATGTCGCACTTAAAAAAGCATCTAAATATAGAATAAAAAATGCAGACCTCTCTTTTTTAATTAGGTTTGATAGATTAAAGTATATTTTTGATACCATGGGAGACATAGTCAAAGAATTTTATCCATAATGCAGGTTTTTCCAAATTCAAGTTTTTAAATATTTCTTTCATATATTAATTTTTGTACATAACAAGTGTACATGTCAAATATTGCTAAATTTTTTAATTTTTCTTGAAAATATTCTATATTCTATTTTTCAAGACCAATAATTACCAAATACGACTCACTAATCGAGACTCTTAGTTTATTTGAAACCTTTATATTAATTTTAATCAAGGAATATGTAGAAGTCAGGCAGTCAAATTAAGGGCCATGCAATCGATAACCATGTAGAGCTGTGGACAATAAAATATAAGTATTTATAAATACTTCTTTTTGCTAACACCCGAAGGTTTTATTATTTTACCAGTAATCTTAATTGTTTAGTTGTTATAATGCCTACTATACAGGGTGTTTCATAATGACGTGCAAATATTTTAAGGGGGTGTTTAAAAAGTAATTTTAAGGAGGGTACTTCCAATACATTTTTTCGATTTAAGTCGAAATAATTAGCTTTTATTTTTTTTTTTATTAAATTTTTAGTTCATATTTGCTTAGCTTTTCCTATTAATAGAAAATAATTGTTGCAAAAAGAATGTCTAAAATGACGATCGTTTTTGGTAGGTAGTAATTATGTGTAAGGCAAGAAAAAATAACTTATTTTTTGTTCGTAAACCATTAAGTATACGAAAAAATGAAAAAGTAAAAAAAAGTTTCTAAATGAAATGTAGTATTAAAAGCTGTTTTTCTTGTTGGAATTTCCTAACGTAGAAAAAAGTTGGGTGAGAAATAAAACCAAGGGGTGCTCATTTCCATCATCCAAAGACATAAACCAGGAAAAAAAGACTACTAAAAATTACCATTCAACTAGTTGTTAACGTGTACCAAAATTCAAATTTCTAAGATTAACCGTTTTCGTGGAAAAAAATAATAGCTAATTTTTTCGGCCATTTTGAGATGTGTATATTTTCTCAGGAAAATTACTTTCTAAACACCTTCTTAAAATATTAATACATCATTATGAAACACTATATAATAAATTTAATAATAATTATTGAATTATTGCGGTAACTTGATTTTTTCTTAAATTTGTTTATTAATTTTTTATTCTACATTGTACAAATGGTTCAATTTTTTTATGAAGCTTTAAAAATAGACAGAATATTGAAAATAATTATGGTATAGGCAAGTATCTTGAAATATGTTCAAATAAAAAGAACATATGTTCCATTTTTTTTTTGAAATTTTAACACCCTTCACAAACATGCCTGATGCAATTTTTTTTAAATATTTTTCCACATCCAACTTTACTTTCTACTTTCCAATATTGCAGGTCCTTGTCACTCTCGCCGCTCTATCTCTAGCAGCAGTGTCAGCCTATGGCCACGGCTACGGAGGTCACTCAGGAGGAGGCGGTGGAGGACACGGGGAATTCATCTCCGGAGAGCACGTAGGTCCCTTCCACGTAGCCGGACCCTCCTACGGCCCATCCCAAATCTCAGGACCCCATTTCGCCGCTGCTGGAGTATCTGGACCTAGCGTTGGACCCGCTTCCGTTGACGGACCAAGCGTAGCCACCGTAGGAGTCTCTGGTCCCGTCAACAACGGAGCCGTCCTTTCCGCACCAGCATTCGGAGGTGTCACCTTCACTGGAGGAGCCGGAGGTGGTGGTGGTGGTGCTGGTGCTGGTGGTGACGGTGCTGGCGGTTGTGGTGGTGCTGGTGGCGCCGGAGGTCACTGTGGCGGCTGGGGAGGTCATGGAGGTTACGGGCATGGACATTACTAAGAGGATTTGGACTGGCGACGTTTGCGTGATATTTTCGTTTGTAAATAGGATTCCTTTGATAAATGAAAGCATCGCCGCACTACCTTAGAAGACTAATATTTTTGTACTATTCTGTATTATGTGTTTTGTATGTTTGTATTTGTTTGCAATATATGTTTCTTAAAGAAATTAATTAATTTGTTTCCTTTTAAAAACAATGGGACTATTCTGTAATTTATTTACTTATTTAAGACAAAAGCTTTCATGACCCCGTGAAAACCCCAATAAAACTTTATATTTAAGACTAAATACGTTTTACCAAGCTCAATAAGCTTGCATAGGGAAAACAAAGTAAGTTCTTCATAAATAGGATGAGTTTTACAATAGCTTTAAGCATTTAACATTGACAACCTCCTGAACATCATTCTTTAGGCTTGTTTTGGGTTTATTGGCTTCCTATGATAGCAATATAGCGTTCAATAGTTTTGTAAACAGTTCCTAAAATCATGGTGTCAATAAGACGGCTTAAGACTGGAGTTTTGTAGACAAGAAATAGCATTTTTAAAAAGATAATGATAGAAAAAGTAAATCAATCCAAAAAATGACGAAGCGTAACATTAAACTAGAGCAACTTCCTTTAATTTTTCGCACTGAAAGATCACGAAGAACATGTAAACATCCGAAAATGTAGCTTTCCTGTTTTGTCCAGCAAAGTTGTAAAGATATTCAATAATTGTGATTAATGCATGTGTTAATAGTTTCTAAAAGCATCTAATAAACCTTTGTTGTCGACAATGTTGAGAATTTCTTATTCAATTTGTAACAAATGGTTTTCGGCTTTTTTTCCATGTAACTTTCCATCATCACGAACTCTCTAAATGAAGATGATTGTACTAAATTTTGTAGACATCATTCCGCAAAAAATGGCAAAGGTGGCTGTTAGAAATGACAGCAAACATTTATTTCCTCTCGGTTGTACCAATGTATGGTTAACCCCTAGAGACCCACATCAGAAGTATCATCAATTTCCAATATAAATATTTCTGTTATTATAAAACTTTTATTAGACTGCTTCTTTGTTTTGAAGTCGACTATAACCCCTTGAAATTGTGGGTACACATGTTCGCAAGTGACCCATTTTTAAGCATTACGTCAAGAGCGCCAGTAGGACGCCGCCGGAAGCACCAGCGTTCCAGGAAGGGTCTACGGCGGACTGGCGTCGGCGAGCAAATGCTTACTCATATACCTACGACCGACTCCACACACGGGGTGTCTCCAACGAACACTCACCCCGTCAACACGTCTTTTTCTATACAACTTAGTTTTCAATAAAATAGTTTATTATTACCGTTGAGAGAGCGTTTTATTTTTGCTGTACAGCGAAAGCAACCCTCAAAATTATAATAGCACTTTCAAAAAACAACTGCATAGATAGATATACAGTATGTCCGCGGTAGAGTGGAAAAGAGAGAAAATATTTTTATTTTTCATTTTACGAGGAAAAGGCATTCTTGATTAAAATTTTTGCTTGTCTTTAAAATGCGGTTGGCATGGAGAACCTTCATCTTGCATGTACAGGGTGATCAGAAAATCGATAAATATAAAAACCGCTCAAGAATAAACTGCCTTTGTTTTCAACAATACAGAAATATGTTATTAAGGGAAGTTGCTTAGAATTGAAATTTATATTACAATTTCAATTTGTGTATGAATCGGCCTACTTTGATAGCAAGGACAGTAAAACATTTTTATTTAAAATATGCAATTGTTATTAGTGTTAGTTTATATTATAGTAATATATTATTGTGCTTGTTTTCCTTAATTGTATGAATTGCTAAGTACAAACTAAGAAACAAATATATAATTTATTAAGAAGTTTGGAAATATTTCCGTTGCTCATACATATTAAAGCAACGGCATTAAATAAAAATTACTGAATACAGTTCTTCATGCCAATTACATTTGAATGATGAGCATAAGTCAGTTTATTCTTAAACGATTTTTATATTTACCCATTTTTTGATCACCCTGGACATGCAAGATGAAAGTTCTTCATGCCAACTGCGTTTTAAAGACAAGCAAAAATTTTAATCGGAGTGCCTTTTTAAAATAAAAATATTTCCTTCTTTACCCTCTAACCGCGAAGAAATAATTTAAAAGAATTTACTGCTGAATTAAAGACCTATGTGAATCGTATTTTAAAAAAGTTCACTCAAATATAGTAAGAATCTAGTTGATAACAATAAATTCTAATAAACAAATATGTTCAAAGAATAATAAAACTTTTAAAGATATAATTTTATTATTTGTGAGATGCACATCACCCATACCTCTTGTCAACTCATTTATATGCTCCAGTTAAAATATCTTGTCGAGGTTGATTTAAAACGTATTTTCACGCTCGATCTAGCAGCCCATACGTAGGTACCTGCTTTTTTCTTCCTGCATAATTTGATACTTTTCAAAATTTATACTTTCTTAGCACTGAGAGATTTTGTTATTGCGAATTTGTTCCGGGTCAAATTGTACAACAAAATTGATGTTAATTAAATTTCGATACAAAAAAACATATTTGGTGGCAACACTACTTGTACCATGTAATATCTTGCTAATTTGAACAGCAAACTCTCGCGGATATTGGACGTAATACAGAGAGTTCGGTGAACACGGTACTGGCCATAATTTGTTCATTTAGTTTTGATTCAACTTGATTTTATTTTTTCAGTTTGTGAATAAATCAATAATGAATAATAATAAGAATGAATCAAAATGCAGCAAGGAAATTTGGAGATAAAAGTAAAGACATCTCAATGAAAAGTTAATGGTAAGTTTTGATAGAGTATTAGGAATTATATAGGGTGTCCTTTAATTCAGCTCAGTTACTTTCAGGAAAAATTAAAAATTTTTTCAATTATCATCAGTCTTTTATACCACGGACATATTTTCTGGTGAGAAAAAAATTTACATTTTTAGTATCTATAAAAATGGAGAATCCAGGCAACATATTTTAACAGAACTTCTATTGACCAAAACAGAGAAATAACCAGTATAATTCAAAGAGCTTTCTTAAAAAATTGCGTTATTTTTTACCTGAAATATAGAGATCGCTAAGAATACCTGACCCTGTAGAAATATGAGGAAACCACAGTAAAAAATGTTTAACCAAATATGACACTGATGATTCAACTGGTTTTGATTTAAAAAAAGTCAACAAGTCAGTTTCCAGTTATTACGCATCTTCGTAAGTAGTCAAAATTGAAGCACTATTATATTTATCACAATGCAGCTTCCTAACATTTCCAATCTCTATGTGTGACTGATGAGTTCAGAGAATGGCAATTCAAAATTTACTTCTCAAGTAAATCATGGATATATCTCGATATGGAAATAAGTTACAGAATTATACTCATATTCTGTTAATTATCATTTATTTAATTAGCAACATTGCACCACCAACATCATGACTCGAGTTCATCCCGAAAAAAAAATGATAAAAAACGTGTTGGAGAAGAATGTAAGACATACTTGTCTAATGAAATTTCATAGTTGCATGCTCCTGTTTCTTTAACTACCAACAGTAATTGCAAATTATTTTTAGAAATAGGTGAAAATGAAAACGGAAAAAATGGAATATGTCGACATAATTGCATTTGGTCGTGTGAATGTGTCATGGTTTGATGTGTTGTGAGAAAGACAGAAACTAATTCCAAGTCATTACCTAAGCCTCCAAATTATGTATATAAGCTGGGGTGAACGCTGTTCAAACCACACTTTTGAGTCAGTAGATCAAGACATCTCAACCATGAACACGCTGGTAAGACACGATTTATATTTAAATTTTTTTTTACAATTTTTTCCATTACAACAGTAGTAAAACTTTATTGCTTTAAAACAATCGGCATGATTGGTTTCAAAACACGTTAAATATTTTACTTCGTTAGCTGTGAAGTTACACAACCCTTTTTTTATGGGCTGTAGAGTTTTTTGCTACAGCCAAAGCAGGACTGTTACGAACATTGCGATACATATTCATTTTTTCTAATCAAATGCAGAGTTTGTCAGATATTTGGTAATAAGTAAGTTCACGGTTGATTTCCAATTAAAACTAGATGTTTTCAACTTAAAGAAATTTAAAATAAATCCTTTTGCTTTGAAAATCGGTTTAAATACGAGTATTTAATAAAGAAAAATAATTGAATTGTTCACAAAATACCATTCCAGCAAAGTTCTAAACAATAATTCTTCATTATTCTCCATTTCTAGATGTGTTTTAAATACATGTATCCTTGCTACTTTGCACTCTCTGAAGCTGTTCAATTAATTCGATTTTCTTTACTTTTAGGTGCTTGCTACCTTTGTCGCCCTATCTATAGTGGCAGTCTCATGCCATGGCTATGGCCATGGCCATGGAGGCCATGATGGCGGTCATGGAGGACATGGTGGGCACGGTGGACATGGTGGACATGGTGGAGGACACGGTGGACACGGTGGTGGTCATGGTGGACATGGTCATGGTGGACACGGTCATGGCGGACACGGTCATGGCGGACACGGTCATGGCGGACACGGTCATGGTGGACACGGTCATGGTGGACACGGTGGGCATGGGCATGGTGGCCACGGAGGTGGACATGGCGGTCATGGGGGTCATGGCGGACACGGGCACGGTGGACACGGTCACGGTGGCCACGGGGGTGGACACGGTGGGCACGGTGGACACGGAGGACACGGTGGAAACGGCGGAGACGGACACGGCGAAACCATCGTCGGAGAACACGTTGGCCCCTTCCACGTAGTTGGACCTGCCTACGGCCCATCTCAAGTCACCGGACCCCACTTCGCCGAAGCTGGGGTATCCGGACCCAGCGTTGGACCCGCTGCCGTTGCAGGACCTAGCGTAGCCGCCGTCGGAGTTTCTGGACCAGTCAATGAAGGAGCCGTCCTTGCAGGACCGGCCTTCGGTGGTGTCACCTTCGTAGGTGGAGGAGATGGTGGCGAGGGAGGCGATGGCGGCGATGGTGCCGGCGGTTGTGCTGGTGGCGGTGCCGGTGGTCACTGCGGCGGCTGGGGAGGCCATGGGGGACATGGTGGTCATGGAGGTCATGGAGGACATGGGCATGGACATCACTAACTGTAGAAGGACTGTCTTGTTCAAGAACCCTCAGTAATATTTTAACTTGTAGTTTACTGTTATCGATCATTTGAAATATTACTGGAAGTTTACCGTTGCAATGTTACTACTGATTTATAGTTTTTGTTATTAGCTAATGTTTGTTATATCTTTTTTATATGTTTGCAATATACTTGGAAAATATAATAAGTACTTGTTTTCTTTAGTGAAAAAAAATATCTGTGGCCACTGTTGCTATATACTTAAAAAATAAATTACGCTAAAGTAACTAATAACCATATTAAGGTAATATCCCCATATTACTTAAATGGGACATTTATATGCGCAATTTTTTGTTCAGCATTTTAGAAAATCTAAGCAAGTTAGAAACGATATCTCTTCACTGTACTATTTATATAAGTTTTCGTCAGGGCATAAGACGACTGGGAATACATTCAAAATAAGAAAAAAAGCACATTTTTTCAGATGTTAGCAATCTTATCTAGAGGTTGAATATGTATCTTTTCCATACCTAATTTCTGGTGTCGAAGGACATTGTTCGTCTGATAAGATTTTTTAAAAATTATGTTTCTTTATTTTGTTTGAATGCCTTCAAAAATAGTAAAAACATGTGAGAGTTAATAATAGAATATAAGTATTTTTTAAAGAAAAATGTATTCCATAATCAGTATTCAAATACATTTTGCCCGCTCCTAAAATATTTAGTAATATTGATTGATGCTGGGAACTACTTTTTCAGCTACCGCATATTTGTCTTAATTTCACGTCATCTGAAAAGAGCGTTCGAATTCAAAGGCAAATGGGATAAATAAATGAATAAACAGCATTTTAATTTAATGCAATAAAATGTTTGTTTATGCACGACTGTTTCTGGTTATAAACAAAGAGAGAATTAATCTAAAACCTCATATTTCCTTCAGCAGCAGCAAGCACCGTAAGGCTTTGTATTTCTATTTTTAAGGCGGATGTTTTGTTGTCAGAAGGGGAAAATAACATTTTAAGTTAATATAGTATTTGTCTATCGTAATAATAGTGATGTTCTTACTTACTATATTTTAAGATCCTATGATCTTTAGATTTTTCGAAAAAATCTTGCAATATTAAGAGATTCTTCATCAATTTAGTACTGTAAGGAAAAAACACTTTCAAATTAAGTCCCATCAAACAACAGGCACTATATCTCAATTGAAAGGAGATTTTATCTTTAAAACAACTTATTCTGTCGCGTTGCAATAGTTTATTCAGTCATTTTTAAGAAGATGTAGGCCTAATTTATTATAACTAGCATCGAATACAAAAAATAAACCCAGATCTATCCGGAACAGAGAAAACATTCAGAAGGATAAAAATACCCAGAATTGTTCGTTATAATTGAGAAAAACTTGTTTTGACGCAAAATGCAGAAAGCATTCGCAGTAGAAGAAACAAAACTGCAGCAAAATGCCATGAATTAGAATGGAACTCGATTTGAATCGCTTACCAATGAGCGAATTTATTTGAAAAACATAAATGGGATAAGTTAAAAAAGAGTTATACACATTTCACTCGTTCTTTTGTACCACGCTCTAGTAAATATTACTTCTTCTGAACCCTGAAGCTGCTGTTTTATGTAGCTCAGCGAAAGAAGAAGAAGAGCGGTAACTATTCATATTTAATCGCCCAAAAGCACTGCCTTTAATCATTCCTGGTGTCGATCTTTGTCAAATGTGATGGTAAAACAACAAGAATATTTCTATGAAACATTACATTATTTAAAGAATTCAATTCATTCATTATTTATTGTTTGCATAATTTAATGATTTCTGTATGTCAAGTTTGTTGTACAATTAAATATATTTAAATATATCATTTTCAATTTTTAATTGCTAGCTGTTTCCAAGATAAACATAATTGTCCACATATAATTATTGATTGTACTCTAAGATTATGCTTTTTGGAGAAACAAAACAAATTTCTATATTTTTTTTGCCAAAATAGCTAAGAAACTGTGAATAGGATCAATAGCAGAAAAAGAAGAAAAACCAAATTTTGTATGGGTGCTCCATGAGACAATAACAGAAAATATTGTCAAGCTGTAATAACATTTGAAATTTTTTGCGGTCATATTCACTAAGAAACTTTTATTGAACTGGTATCTGAGACATTTTTTATACTTTGGGGCAAATATTTAAAAAAGTGATATTAATAAAATGAAGCGAATCATGGTTAACTTATCTTCTATAAGTTTATAAACTTTCTATATGTTACATATCTTTTTTATCTGTTTTTATACATACATCTTCGCATATGCTTTGTAAAATCTCTTTTGCGTTTTTGGGGAAACTGGTCCAATTTTTGCGATACGTCAAATTATTTGATTCCTAAAACCATATTAATTATTGTATTATAAATATTCATAAAAGAGACTTAGGCGGCGTTTTACTCTACTTCACTCTCGACACATATTTTCTATTGTATTGAAACGCATGAAATGAAATTAGGAATGGGAATTCAATAGATGTCGTATCAGTGTGCTGGCTGTATAAGGTAAAAAAATGGTTATTCCAAAAAAAAATTAAATTGCTATCTAAACTCTAAAATTTAATAGGTATATAAGCCCGTTAGACTTAAATGCCACAGTATTCAGCTACCAGACACCAAAACTGAAAATATGAACTCCTTGGTAAGAATCAATATTCAATTTAACCTTAAAAATGTTCACAGTATAATAATTCGAAAAGACATATGTTTTTTATGTGAAAAAACAAGTATTATTTCTATTATATTTGTAATTTACCTCAACATATTTGTGAAATTTAAAAATTTATAATTTCCCTTTTCTACGTTAAACAAAGTAATACAATTATTTACAGTGAGGTTAAAAAACCAGTAATACTCAACCTATTTACATAATCATAACAAATAAATGAACAAACCGACATTGAAATCAAACAATTATTAACTGATGTAATAAATATTTATTTCCAGATCGTTCTTTTCGCTGCCCTATCCATAGTTGCCGTTTCTGGCCATTACTATGGTGGAGACAAACCCTATCGCTACTATGGAGGATTCGAATCTCAAGGATTTGCTGGCGCAGGAAGTCAGGCAACAGTAGCGGGAGCCAGTGTTGGTCCTTACAACGTAAACGGTCCTTCCTTTGGACCGTCTGAAGTCAGCGGACCTCAGTATGGTCCTTCTAGGGTATCGGGACCAACCAACGAACCTGCTTCGATCGTTGGACCTAGAGTCGCAGCTGCTAGTATTACTGGACCTGTAAACGAAGGCGCTGTGCTTTCTGCTCCTGTTTTTGGAGGCGTACGATTTGTTAATAGAGGTGGATGGGTTGATGGTGACAGTGGAGAAGATTGGAACGATCATGGATACGAGCACTGAATTTGATAGATTTAATATGACCTGTATTTATGGCACGTGGAATTGTGTATCATATTTATTTTGTACTTTTGCAATACATCTTTTATAAAAAATTAGTGTGTGGTGTCATTTTAATGAATGAATGAATGAATGAATTAATTAATTAATTAATTATCTAATGTCTAAGAAAACTGTGGCCACTAAAGAAAAAAACAGTGATATTTTTTTACAATAGAAGACAAAATCTACAGAGTTATTAAAAACTCTTTAAGTTTGAGGCATCTTGAAACAAGGAAAAATTTGACAGAATTGCATATGTCGAATATGAAAACTGTTTTTAATGAGTTGCTAATTTGTTGAGATCCATAATATGTTTATTTTGCAGCTTTAAATGTGAGACTTCTTTCAGATTATGGTTTATTTATTTAACTATTTGTTAATGTGTAAAGAAAGTAATGAATAATGCAACTCACAACTAATACATCTACATTCTTTAGTTCTTTTGAATATGATTTATTTCATGTGAAGAAATTGCTCATTGAAATTAAAATATTTTTTAAACTCAATTTCACTATTTCTCCCTATATAAGAAAAAATAGTATTCTCATCTTCCACACGTTTACTTAAATATGAAGGTCAGCTTCCCTGTTCCTTTTCTTTAGCAATATTTATATTTATAACAAAGTTTTGAAAAATTTGCTTCGCGCCTATCACGGGCAATTAAATTATTAGTTTTAGTTCGTTACGAAATAAGCCACTTGAATAAATAAACCATGTTCTTGACCGGTATATTTATTCAACTGAGAGCGCTACTACTGACATTAATGCAATCGTCAATGAGGCAGTTAATTTTTGAAATTCACAGAATTTCGTCCATTGATGAATAAATACATTTCAAGCAGAAGTATGAAGATCGTAAAAATTGTAGATCTAACCCATTTTTAACAAAATTATTATATTTTCTGCATTATTGACACGTGGGAAATAACTACTCTGCGAACTATGAACCGACTAGCATTGAATCACACCCGCAATATCTAGTAAACAATTAGTCAGACATTAGTAGAACCACCAGACACATACCGATAACGAACTCATTACTATACACCTCAGGTCAGACGATCGAATATAAAACGCAATTTTGCTTCATAGTAACTTCATATTAGCAGTTCGTTGTCTGCTAATTTAGCAGCATTGAAGGCCTTTGTAGGTTATATGTCCCACTATGATTGTACATAGACACCAAAAAAGTTATATCATTTGTCGATTATCTCATCTATAACATACTGACGAGAACTTATAAGTTCGAAACTGGTATATGCCTGGTGGTTCCATAACAAATGATCAATGATCGATGACGAATGACGACGGACCTTTATTAGATAGGACGAGCGAAATTCTCTGCCAATTTGGCTAAATTGAAGATTTAGATTTTTGGCAGCAATAACCACTTAAGAATTAACACACTTTATATTTTATATCTCACCCATACTGATAAAGCAGGATACAGAAACCGCTTTCATATAGTGACTATTTCTCACTTAATAAAATATATTTATTTATTTATTGAAATATTGATTTACTATAAAAGACAATAATATAATTTTAAAACTGTGTAATTAAATATTTCTGAAAGTTTTCATTACCATTCTTACTTATTACTAAACAGACTCTGATTCAAACGAATTTTTAGATGAATATGCATTAATTACTGTATGTTACGCACATATGTTTTTTGGGCTGTGTTTTCTAATAACATAATAACACAAACAGGAAGAAATCTGCTGTACCTTATACTATTAAGCGACAATATCGTTATAGTTTTTGTTGGCAACTATTATACTGAAGAAAAAAGAAATTCGACACAATGAGGAACTGGATGTAGGTCATATAGAAACATTTTTGGTCAATATTACCTCATACCTCATATGAACAAAAGCAAACATTTCGAGTAACAATGGAAAAAAGTCGTTTTGTTTTATTTTCTATAGTTTAAAGTAAGCTGTGTCTAGTATAAATACTGGGACCTTTGTTTTCAATACCACAGTTCTGTTCGTAGCTCAACATAACTTCCACATATCAACAATGAACTCCTTGGTAAGAATTTTATTCTTAATATGCATTATTTTCCGAATTATTTTTGGAAATTGAGAGAAAATCGATTTTTTAACGGGAAATATAACATCTATTTACATCCACATTACATTTCAAGACAAATCAAAAGTATATTGTTTTTTTTTTCATTTTATTTTATGTAAATAACTCAGGGGTTAGAAAAAAGTCGATAAAAAAAAGAAATATATCGGAATTTTAAACAAATTCTCAAATACTTAAACAAAAATATCAAAATGCACTGAAGAAAAATGAAGTAATACAAAAAAAAAAACGAATATCTTCCTACAAAATAATTAGATACAATGTTATTATCTCCCTTTCGAGACAAAAATTTTTAGTTAAAATACTTTGGGTGTTGGAAACAATTGAGTATTAGATATTTTTAAAAAAATTATATATACATATGACATTTGTTACATTAATTAATAATTATTTTTCTTTAGACTGTCGTACTTCTTGCTGTCTCATCCGTGGTAGTCTCCGGATACCACTACCACGGCTACGGTGGACTTGGTGGTCAAGGACTTGGGGGTCAAGGGTTTTCAACCGGAGGAGAATCCATCTTGGGGGCCCAAGCAGGACCCTACCAAGTAGCAGGCCCCCTCTACGGACCATCCAGCGTCGATGGCCCACATATTGGACACGTCAAAGTAAGCGGACCAACCTCTGATCACGCCAAAGTTTACGGATCCAAGGTTGCCGCTGCCCACGTCGCTGGGCCCGTAAATGCGGGTGCGCTTGTTTCTGCCCCAGTTTTTGGAGGAGTCAGATTTGTGGACAACGCTGCCGGAGCTGGAGGTGCTGGCGGTGTTGGAGGACATGGGGGATATGGTGGATATGGGGGATATTATGGACATGAACACGAATACCACTATTGAATCGTTTCACTCAAAATAACTTGGCCCCAATGCTTAGAAATGTATATAATTTGTAGTTATTACTGTTATGGGTGAAGTGTATGTGTTGATAATTTTTGTACTTAAATAATATTTGCAATAAATTGAACAGTTACATCAAAATATATGTTTTTTTTAATCCTAAGGAATACTTATGTAATATTCTACCTTTTTTGCCTTTCTATTTAGAAAAAAAAATACTAGTGTTTCTGAAATGTCACTACCATTCCATTCCATATTCTCCATTTCATGGAGAAGTCAAGAACTTTAAAGTCATCCGCGAGTTTGTGGAGTGAATACTCAATGATTAAGGTGAACTATTTTCATAGAGGAGGACGTGGATATATCAAAATACACCAAGCTCCTTAAAAACAGTGTATTAATAGTCTATTTGCTATAGTGGGAGCATATAAAATAGTATTCCTGTTTTGGAAGAATTAATTAGACGAACATAAATAATTTTAATACAGGGCAAATGAACATCTTTGGATGTAGCTGATGTTCTGGACCAGCAGCTGACTGAGTGAAAGTGTATTTATACTCCAACAGATCGCGTTGGGTTCGTATCTATACACGTCGACTTTTTCCGGTCTCTCCGCTTTCCTAATTCTCCCAACCAAATTCCTATCTTTGTTCTTAGTATTCCCTAATAATATAATTGCTAAGCAAGTGATCTAGAACGAAATACCACAATGAGGAAATTTCAGCCAAATGATCTAACAAGCCACAATTCAAGATAATGCGGGGTCTATTTAAAGTCTCCCGAATATCGAAACGCGGTAAATAGACTGAATAGTTGGAATTGAAAAAAGGTTACCAAAAACCGCAGCTTATACAGGCCGTCATCAATACACGAACAAAAGATCTAAAAGAAATAGACAGGGAATATTTTATCTTGTAACGTTAACTGTGACAAGTATTCTTCAATGGATTAATCCAGAAGCATTTTAGTGCATTATTGAACAAAAAATGACTATTTTATACTAACTTGTTTCATTGACTAATGAAATGTGAATTATTACCACAAAATATAATCTCAAACCACCATTTTATCGCAAGAATGATTCTAGCGATATGATTTTTAATATTTACGTGAATGATCCATTGACTCAAATAAATGCAAATAAAGAAATTATACCACTATACGGAAATGAGTTAGAGGAATGTAAAGGGAAAAGTGGAATTAGTATTATGAATGTTATTAACTTTTTTTAGCAATAAGTAGAATAAAATTATATTGCTACTTATTAGGTAAATTTCATATTTCCATATAAAAACAATGCCAGCTCTGATAGATCTATATTTATAAAGATATTTTCAGAAAGAGCATAAACGGTTCAGCGTAACTAAACGTAAGAACATGAATTTTAGTTAAGAGTTAATATAGGAATAGTATTTTACGTACTAGTTCGTTTTTCATACATTTCTCATTTAAAATTGTTATTGTCGAACTTTTATATAGTAAAATTGTTATTTCATGGTACTTTTTATAAAATCTCAAAAAACTGACTGTCTAAGAAATGGTTACAACCATATATTTAAATTAGAAAGTCAACTCTAAATTATATTCTAAAAAAATAAAGTACTCGACAATTAGGTTTTCAGAAAAAGACTTTTTTAATATATTTCTTGCTATAATTATTTAGGATGATTATCGTTAAGAAGGCATTAAGATGATTTTTCCGAGTGATGTTATTAATTTCTTTTTTTGCAGCACTATTAATCTCTTCACTATCAAATTATATTTAATACAAAACTTCTCTAATGTAGAATAACATATTTACAGATTAAATGTAGTTTCCAGTTGTTCTTATCCGTATTAATTAATAATGGCAATAATGTATCAATGAACATTTAAATTAAGTTCAATATCAATTAATTTTTAACACCGTTTAAGTATCGACACAAAAAAATCGCTAATTTATCGAAACCGTGACAGCTTGTATATTTATTGTTTGAATAAATATATGTAATCCTAAAAGGAAAAAAAAACTGTTTCTGTCATAAGTGAATTTGGTCATGATTTTCACTTATGGGTGTTGCACGTAAATATTGGTTTCTAGTGGCAAAGCTGCAAAAAAACCGAATTTCATACTATTACCTAAGATATGAAATTAAGTAGCTATATAAACCAGGGCGACCGTTTTTGAATCACAGTGTTCATTCAGTTCGTAGAGTCGGCAAGATATCAACCATGAACGCCTTGGTAAGAGAGGATTTTCTTATCTCATACAGAATCAGTGTTTAATCGAATGTTGGGCAGGATTATATCGTTAGAACCGCGGGTACATCATACTTTGATCATATTTAATTTCCAATGTCCTATCAGATATTTTACAAATATTGGATACATTATTAATAATTAAAAAGTATTCAAATACATCACATGAACAACATTCTATAATAAAATCAACTTTTTTCGTTATTTGAAGGTGAACTAAATAATTTTTTATCAATTTATATCTTTTATCTATAACTGTATATTTTGCACAGGATATTGAAAAAATAGAATTAGAAATCAGTTGTCTTAAAATTTTTTTTTGAAATTTTGAATCGTTACTTTTTCTAAAATCACATATTTGTTTCTATCGAAGAAATACAAATCAAAAGATTAAAATTATTATTTTTGGTCAATAATGATACTACTTTTATATTCATTAATATCTATTTAGGTATGTTAATCTTAAAAACGATTTACTAATATCGATTTCAGTTGAATATGAATAACAGTGCCAATACAGCTTCATTTTTGAATTTTCAAAAAATTTTAGTTAACTCTAAGTAAAAGTACTTTCATAAGTATAAAAAAATAGGTATTACTCACGGCTGTGTGTGAATGTGGATTGATGGCTTAGCCAGAGTTATTTCGGGACAATAATACTCTTTCTCTTTTCTTCACGGGATATGGATATTACACTACAACGTTTTCATATAATATGTACAAAATGTTTTGAAAACTATTCTACCCAAGATTTACATTTTTATATCCTTTCGTTTTTCTTACAATTTGTTTATGTTAGTATCGTGGTATAGGGAGTTTACAATATTTATATCTGTTTGGTTTTGTTACTATTTATTTGTTAGTAGGTAGATTTTCTTGTCATATCATATTGTCATTGTCATATTTTATTGTATTGTTGATAATTTCATTTTTATTTTATTTATGTTTCTTAATTTTTTTCTTGTTTTATTTCTTTTACTTTTTTAATTTATTTATTTTTTCCTCTCAATTCTACAATTTAGATTATTTACTTTTACATATTCTTTATACAATGGAAATCTCACAATTAATGTACCTGATTTTCTTAATGAAAACAGTAAACCAACAAAATTAGTACGCAGAAGACCTAATCAATTAAGTAAACTTTAACGGGACATTTTTTGTGCGTACTTAAATATATTTCAAAAATTAAAATGATTAAGTTAGGTATGTAAAAAGTAAGTCAGCTTAGAATAGAAAAAAATAGAATAAAAGGTAGACAATCAGTCTAAACTTGTGATTTGGAAAACGAATTTTTGTTGTCTAGCTTTTTTTCAGTCATTTTAAAATTACATGTTCATTTTAAATATATAAGAAAAGTGCTCTTTTTAAACAAAATCGATCTTAAAAGATGTCAAACTACTTCTCTAGACTTTACGTTCAAAAACAAGAAAAAAGTTCTAATAATATTGACCTTTATTGTGCACTTTTGAAGAGGGCCTTTGGATCATCATTTATTGGAACTTTTTTCATACTTTTCAACATAAAATTTAGTGACGAAGTCTGACAGTCTAAATATAAAATGTTCAACATTTTTTATGAAATACTTTTTGAACTATTTTTGTGGTAATATCGATTATTATTGATTAATTAACAATTTTTAAGATTATATTATGTCTTAAAGATATATCACATGATTTGCATATTTGTCTACCAATTCATATTCTTGTATTTGATTTATTATTATGAATGAATTAAACATTCACACATTCACAAACCGCGACCAAACATGAAACCTCGTATTCTTTGGTGAATTTTAAGGAGAGTCTTTCCTATAAAGTCTTTATATAAGACGCTTCGTTAAAAAGATACAGGGTGTTAAACTTTAAAAATCATTTTTAATTTTTTTAAATAATTTAAAAACTGTTAAGTGAAATAATTTGAAATTGGGCACATATATTTATGCAAACATTGTCCAAAATCTGAGGGATTTTCCTAAAATATACATACTTCAGTGACGGAAATTCAGGGTATTGGTGGCATATTATTCAATTTTTTTTTTTCATTTCAAAATTCCCGCTTTTATCGGATACTTCCAGTTGTAGTCACTTGGGGCGCTACAATTTGTAGTTTTAATACTGAGATCCTACAAGTTTATAATTCCTTTTATCTATTTTATTGATTTACTGACTAAAAATTCAAGTATTCTGTTGGAAGGAAAACAACTAAGTATCGTTTCTTTCCAGACCATTGTAGCTCTAGCCATCTTCTCCGTCGCGGTGTCCGGCCACGGCCATCACGGGCACCACGGAGGTGGCGGCGGAGGACATGGAGGCGAAGGGCACGGAGGAGACGGACATGGAGCGACCATCGAGGGCCATCACGACGGCCCATTCCACGTCCACGGACCATCCTACGGACCATCTCAACTCAAGGGACCCCACTTCGCCGAAGCTGGAGTATCCGGACCTAGCGTTGGACCCGCTTCCGTTGAGGGACCTAGAGTAGCAGCCGTCGCAATCTCCGGACCAGTCAACGAGGGAGCCGTCCTCTCGGCTCCAGTCTTTGGAGGAGTCACCTTCGCCGAAGGAGCTGGTGGTGGCGGCGGTGCCGGAGGCGAAGGCGGTGAAGGCGGCGCAGGAGGACACGGAGGCGGATGGGGAGGTCACGGAGGACATGGAGGACATGGAGGTCACGGTCATGGGTACCATCACTAGGACTGGAACGCTGCGTTTTTGTTGACACCTCAAATAGTACCTTAACTCAATGGTTGAAATTTATTTATGTTGAACGGTTTTGCAATGTTACCATTGTTTTATATTTTTTTTACCAGTTTATCACATGTTTAATAAACGAGTTATTACAAATTTCAATTTTTTTATTTTAATCCTCGAAGTTTTATGAGGTAAGCGTTAGAATTCCTCAGGGTTCAGTATTGGGACCTTTAATCTTTCTGACCTTGGTAAACGATTTACCTCAATATATCAGTACAAATGTAGTAACTTTCTTTGACGACCCATGACGACCTCCAACAACTAATCAAAAATTTGTTGACGAGTTTTGTAAATTGATTTGAAAAAAACGACTTAATAGTTAACTTAACTAAAATCCAGTGTCTTGAATTTCGTTGTTTGAATACACCTTATGACTTTCCATATAATTTTTTTGTCGACAGTGCTATAATAATCTCAGTTAAAAGTGCGATTTTTTTTAGGATTGCAAATAGACGATAACCTAAGATGGTCAAAAAACCATTAAATCAAACATATTACGCTATCTCCAAAATTAACTAATCAGTACCACTGTGTGCTGTGATAAATGTGTACTATAGTTTTGTTTATAGCCAATTAACATTCAGAGTCATTTACAAATGGTGACCAAAAATGAAACCTTGTATTCTACTATTGGTGAATTTTAAGAGGATTCTTTCTTGTAAAGTTTTTATCTAGGACGCTTCGTTAAAAAGATACAGGGTGTTAACCTTCAAAAATATTTTTAATTTTTTTAAATAGTTTAAAAACTAATAAGTGAAATAATTTGAAATTGGGCACATGTATTCATGTAAACATTGTCCAAAATCTGAGGGCTTTTCCTAAAATTTACATGCTCTAGTGACGGAGGTATGTACAGGGTATTGGTGGCATATTTTTCTAAATGAAATTGTACGCCACTGATTTACTGTAACAACCATGATATTTTCGGATTCGTCTGTCAATTTGTTTTTCGAAATTTTTTTACAAAGGTCTGATTTTCGAGTAAAACTTAAAAACTGAAAAATTTTACATATAAAAATCATTTCAAGAAACTGTACTACAGCAACTAAATTTGTCAGCCTTTTTGAGCTATTGATAATAAAAATTATATTTCCTCTTAGCTTAAAAGAACAGATCTTGGAAAAACTACTTTTATTTTTTGCTTATTTTAACTAAGAATTCGTTTCTTGAACTTGACATTTTAATTAAAAAAAAAGTATAGTGCTGTAATTTGAAGAAGCTGGCACAGAATATGCAGATCTAACATTTATTTAATGTATTTCAAATGCAATAGTTCATTTCAGAGTTCTTTATTAGAAAAACGTTCCAAAAATTCGAAATTATATATATTTTGTAATCTATTGTGACTGTTCCACTCCATATTTCTCAAAAAAGCGCGTTCTCAAAACTGTAAATAACAAAATTAAGAAATTCATTTAACAAAACGCCGATTCCCTACAAAAAGTTCAAATAACTATATCAAATTTAACAGGAGAGCACAAAATATTCGTTTCAATTTCATGCATTGAAAAAAATTCCTTACCTGATTTAATATGCTGAATGGTTATGCAGTATTTTAGCCGACTTTGGCTGCCAAGGAACTGTGGTATTCGTAGAAAAAGAGAGGTAAATGACATGACGCAAATAGTTTAACAGTTTCAGTTTATTTATTATTATTGTTTTTTAAAATATTACTACATACACAATCACTAGTGTATATTAAATTTTTTCGCAGAGAAGTTATCAAACATTTCGGGTTAGTGTTACACCAAACATACATTTGACTATACAATGGCCCGATAAGAACCAGAATACCTTTATACACTTTTTTTGAGTCGCATGATATTAAGTTTGCATATGGTGGATTATTGAACCAATTACTATGGCCCAGTTGACAATCTTTGGCCCGCTGTTATTTTTTTATTACAGACTTTTTTTATTAAAATGTATCTCAAATTTCATCAATTTATAATACAAAATATTACTTTTTACAGGAATCTTTGACCTGCCCATTGCTGTTCTCGGCCTAGACTCTGTAGGGGCGGACCCGCTATTAACCATCTTTAATATTTAGTTATCTTTGAAAAGAAAAAGAAAGCTTTTGAAAAATCTTAGTTGGATGTACTATATAAGGCCTATGAAATTGAATTACCATCACTGGTTTACTGTGCCAACAATTATACGGTGTGAAATTTGTCTGACTTGACTCCCTCCCCCCAAATTCTTTTCCGCGAATTGGTAAGTGGTGGTAGAGAAACATTGCGTTAAAAACGACATATCTACTTTTACTTCCGATATCGAAAGCACAATGCATTCCTTCTATAATAGAAATTGAGTATTTGTTGGTACCTGTACCAAAATGAGTTACGGAGACAGAAACGGCAAATAAATTTGACATTTTGTGTAATTAAATCATCGCTAATAATCGTGGGATACATTGCGCAAAATATTAATAAAAGCAGAAAATTAGACGCATGAATGACGTAACCTTATTTGGTAATTATTTATATCGTAGTATTAGTTAAGGTATGAAACTAAGTGTATAAATTGGGGTAACCGTTACTAAACTGGTACTGTTCAGTTCCCGCTGTCAGCAAGATATCAACCATGAACGCCTTGGTAAGGATATACTTCTATTACATATTTTTCGATTTACCGTTTCCTATAAGAAACGAGCAATTTCGCTTGCTTGTGCTTAGACTAAGTGGGTCGCTGGAAAAAAGTTGATAGTTTAGGAGCTGTGAAGTGCACCTACTTTTTAGATATTTGTAAATATAGAGTGGTGCATCATAATTTTCAGTTTAAACTCCTGAGATATGCGATTTATTACATTTTGGAGGAACTTACCTGTTATTTTATTATTAAAATTACATTTTTATCGAGAGAATATGATCAAAACCGTTTGATTTAGTAAAAAAATCCTACTTACATTTTTGATTATACAACTTTTAACAGTTTTAAAAAGTTTGGAATTTAGAAAATTACAGCTCACTAGGTTATGTCTTTAATTTTTGTATTAAATTTTATGCACTACCGAGATACTTTTAAAGTCAAAACAAACTTTTCTTCTTAATTTTTTTGCTATCTTTGAATATTTTACTACATCTAAAAAGAAAGAGACAAAAATTAAAAACGTTCATTGGAAAATTCAGGCAGACATCAATTTTGGTTTTGCATTATGGAATTAATTCTAGTACTAGTATACTAGGCGGTATCTGTTTTAGTTTGGGTGAATCATATATCCACTGACATTTTAGGCTTTTTGGCTTTCAAATATCACTAGAAATGAAAATTTTTCTATGCGCATAAAAAAAACGTGCGCTTAACTTTTGGCGGCACAATATGTTACAAGAGTTGATTTTAGGCGAAAATTGAAGAGGAAAAAAATGTTTGTAATTAAATTTTTTACAAAATATGACTAGTTACAAATCGAATGAATCATGATTATTATAGTAAAACTCGAAAAAATAGCCAAAAATGGGGTTAAAAAACATTACTTTTTAGGGAATTTTTTTGGGGTCTTTAAATTGGGTATAGGACTTGGCCCAAGAAAACTTCATGTTATGTAGAATCATCACACCAATATTCATCAAAATCAGTTCCATAGATTTTGCATAATAATTTTGAAATCCAGATTTTGAAAAAAAAATTGCAAATTTTCAAAATTTTGCACAGCAAAAATCAAGGCCCTTAGATACTTGAAAATTTAATCACATATAGAAGAGCTCTCATGCTTTCAAACGCTTTTTGAAAAATCCGAATCCGTCAATTAGAAGAGCTCTAGCTCCTGTTTAAACATTGGTCGAATTTTTGTACTTATAAACAATTAGAATAACTTTGTGAATATTCAATCAAATCAAATTTTTTAAAGTAGTTTTTAAAAGTTATTGGAAAGACGCTTCTTAAAAAAAAAACAGATCGATTGGTCAATTAGTTACGTAATTATAGCCGATCAAAGTTAACCGACATTTACACTAAATCTTCTGGGACATACGGGTTAATTTTTCGAAAAATACTTTTGGTATTCCGAGTACTTACCAGGTCTAAGTTTGCAATACTTTTCTTCATTGGCAACCTACTTTAAAACGTGTTTAAAGTTATTTACGTAAGCGAGAAATTTAAGAAAATCGTACGGGTAGTGGTGGTGGGGGAAGCAGAGAGCGCGGCCGCTTCGGCCTGCTCGAAATTGAATCGGCAAGTTCAAAACCGCGAAAATTGCCTAAAAAAGTAATGTTTTTTTACCCCATTTTTGGCGATTTTTTCGATTTTTACAATAATAATCATGATTTATTCGATTTGTAACTAGTCCTATTTTGTAAAAAAATTTATTACAAAAATTTTTTTCCTCTTCCATTTTCGCCTAAAATCAGCTCTTGAAAAGATGTATAATTAAATAGGAAGAAAAATATGACATTTTTTAAATTTTTTTAACATATTGTGCCGCCAAAAGTTAAGCACACGTTTTTTTTTATGATCATGGAAAAATTCAATTTTAGTGATATTTGAAAGCCAAAAAGCCAAAAATCTCCGTGGATATACAATTCACCCAAATATGGACTTTTTGAAACAAATGCCGCCTGGACTATCGTACTTAAATTTTATTTTATAACTTATTTTACAAAATTTTCGAAAGATGTGAATAAAATGTGTGTTTTAATTACATTTTAATATTTTGTTAACTGGTTATTGAAAATAAATGCCATTATTATTATGACTTTATTACAATGTTTTATCCAGGTTTATACAGTAATGGGAGTGCTATGCATAGCCGCAGCATCGCCTGCCAGACACCGCCTGGAGAGCTTCGGTGGAGCCAGAGGAGGCGCTATCGAATACGACGACTTCGTACCGGGCAAGACAGTCAGAGGCCCCAAAATAGTCGGACCACAAGCCACAGCGTCTAAATTAGGAGGTCCCCACATCGGCCTGACTTACATCGTGGGACCGGAACTCGGACCACCCCGTATAGTTACGCCGATAGTTATTCCTGGTCACATCACCGCACCAGATGGTACCCACGATCCCATAGTTGGGCCCAAGGTGGGTGTAATTGCCATCGTTGGTCCATCAAATCCTTGGTCCAAACTCTCAGAGGATGGTTATGAGTGGAAGAATGGATGGCTGGATTGGTAGGATTGCGAATGGGAAGGGCGGTGATTTCAGAAGATGAAAGTTCAAGAATCTGGCAAAGGAACTTACGTATGTAGAATTGATTAATGCGAGGTCAAAAAGTTCAGCGTCACTTGAAAATTTATGTCTTAAGTGTGCTCTATAGCAAATAGGCAGCCAGCAATACATTTTTATAGATTTTATTATACAGTTTGTCTAAATATGAATTAATCCACAAATAATAATAACAGACTTTTCCAGATTTTAAGCCAGATTTTTTATAAAATGGAGTTTTAAACACAAATTACTTTTTCGTGTAAAGAAATTTGTAATTTGCGATGAGACCACATGAGAAAAAGGAAGTTTATGAAATATTAGTTTCGAGAAAAATGAATTTTAAATTTTGAACACTTGCTGATTTATAAGTTATTATATATTTTTAACAAAATTGAAGAGAGTATATTTATGAAAATAAGGTGAATTATTCGGTCTCACATGTACTAGCTTTTTTCATTGTACATTTGTTGTTCTTGCATGTTTACTTATGCTTTTTGTTTCTTTCTATTTATTTTTGCGTTTATATTTTTTGATATACATACTTCTTTTTATCATTTATCTTCTGAACATTTCTCATTCTCCCCTCATATAGTTTTCCAAACAAGAATATTGGTGTACTGACGTTTCTACAACGAAATTATCTTTAAAACAAAATATCCAGGTTTGTTTACGAGATAGCAATATTAACAGACTCTGTATATTCTGACAATTTTCCTTTTTCCTCCGTGGTCTTCATCTTATTTTGTCTATCTCTAAGTTCTCCGTAATAATAAAAGCGGTATCGTTAATTAAGCAATTAACCATTTTTCGATAGAAAGTGTCTTGGATTACTTTAAACAAATGTTTCGTATGGACTTATGTTCTAAATGGTTTAGTTTTAAAGTAATAAGTGTTTGGCATCTTTGAAAAATATTACATTTCCACAAAATATATTTGAATATGTCTGATACAGTTTCATGAAATGTAGATATTGGGAGGTATTGGCACGTGAACCCTAGATATTCGGTGCCACTGACTTTTCGGAAATTCGATCGACTCATTTAATATTTAATTGTAATTGAAAGAAGAAATATATTACCTTTCATCTGCAAAGCGGGCTGTTTGTTCTAAAATAAACTAACCACACAGATAATAAAGCAACTTTAAAAAATTGAAAATATATAGGATTATTTTGTCATCAATATCTTTGTCAAATATACAAAAGATATCATGGCTGTTGAAATTTTGATTGCTTCCAAAATAGTCAAAATTTGTACGCTAATATTTTTTTCTGGAATTTTGGATGTTTACATTATATTTAAAATTATATATCTAACAAACAAAAATCCGATAGATATTCAACTATGTGGGAAGCTTATTTCAAATTAAACAATTATTAATAACTTTTAGCTCTTTTACCTAACAAAATGGACTTTGTTTACATCATATAATAGAAGATATCCTTTTTCTTTATTATGCAATTAAGAATTAAATGCACTAGTAATTCGTCACTGATTGACAAAATCGCATTGGTGTGAATTTTGTTTTTACTTAGATAAGTTACTAGCAGGTAGTTTTAGTCGTGCTTAAAAATATTCAAAGCTTTTTATCTTCAAAACTAGGTACGACCTAAGACACTTCGTAGGTTTGTAAAACTCTTAAACTTTGAATAACTTGAGGACCACGACTATATGAAACGTGAAATGGGATGCAAAACCTTGTTTCATTGAATAGTACATGCTGAATATAAAAATTGGTTTAGCTGATCAAGCTCACATTTATAAAGTACCATGTAAAAACAATTCCTTTGTAAATTTCTTGAACAATATGATTTGTATATAGATTGTTAATAATGTAAGTAAATTATTGTAAGGTATTTAAAAAATTAAATAAAAACTGTAAGTTTTCTGCATTTAATTGTATTATTCGTACCTCGTTTATAATGTAAATAAAAAAAAACAGTAGAACTAAACGTGGTTCTCTTAAGTAGTGCATTTATCCACAATATTTGCAATGCATTTAATCCTAATATTTCGTTATGTTATTTGTTGTTTTGCCAGATGTAAGGCAAAAATTTAATCCATACAAGTAGATATTAGTTACTAGTGGATGTTCTCTACTAATTCACACTGAACTTGGGGAAATTACACAATTCCCTTTTGGTGTTGCATTCCATTGTCTGGATTGCACAAAATGCCTAGTTCCAATAATTTTGCACTATGCAACCTTGACCGGCATTCGATTATTGGTAAATATTATAATAATTGTTTTTGTTTAAAACAATTTGTAACGCTGCTTCAAAAAAAAGGCAATATGTGTTTAGGGTGTGGAGAGTAGAAATATTTTTAGGTGGTCATTTTTTTAGGTTTTAATAACTGTTATTTCGCAACAGTCTAGTTAACTATGGTTATTTAATTTTGCATGTACCCGACAGTCTATCAACATAACACAAATATTCTTTAAATGAATTTGTTAAATTGTTATCAGAACTGTTTATCCTCAATGTATGCATTTAAAATTGAATTTAAAACGTTCCAAAATATTTTTCCTTGATTATTAAAATGATTATTTGATCACCCTGTATCTTTTCAGTTATTAATCTTATATCGCTATCTTTTAGAATTAACGTAAATAAAATTAACAGACCTAGTTACCCATTACTCAAGTGTCCCTCAAAATGTGTTACGATTGTTAACAAAGATTATGGTATTTCATAAAATTTGTAAAAGTGTATGTTAAATATTATAGTCATGTAATATGTACTAAACTAAGACAAAGATCACCGACGAATTTTAAACATTTGTCATCATTTTGTTTACTATGCATAGTTAAAAATTTAATTCTCTATATTTCTCTAAATGATTGTTTTCAGGAAGTAATGAAAACAAATTTCTACTAGAGGTTGAATTTAACATGAACATTGTTTAAACGGTGATGTTTAAAACAGTTCTAATCTGATCAATGATAACTGTTATTTGCACCATTTATGGTATACTTTCAATAAAACGCCTTACTGTTTTGTTTTAGTAAATATTTATTAGTTTAAGGGGTACCACATACTGTAAAATTTATCCACAAAATTCAATTGCTAGCTACTAGAAAATATTGGTATAGAATACTTATTAAAAGTATTATTATTTTTTACATTTGATTGAAGAAGTTGAAAGAGATCGCTGACTGAAACAAATAAGTTTGCGTCTGAAATAGCTCAGAAAAGAATATTTTGAAATCTTCAGATTCCGTGTTCGATAGTTTTGAATCCATGAAACATGCTCTTGGTCGTTTTGAACATATCTAGAAATTTAACAGTTTATTTTCCTCATTTTCAGGCACCTTCGAAAAATTTAAAAAATGATGCACTAAAATAAAGGTTAAGGAGAATATGTAAGAAATTTAACATCAGAAACAGTTTTTCGGGCACCTAGCACTTTATTGTCAAAGAGGCGTCCAATTAATTATTTTCAAAATTAAAAAAATTGCATTTATAACGTACGTTGCAACTGAAATAGATATTATGTTGAAAAACCCTCTCTATCTGTTAAAATTAGAACAGATGAGCATGAACATTTGGGAAATCAATACCACGGTGCGTTCTTCATGAAAGGAACAAATTCGTTTAAAATTCAGGTAATTATTTTGTAGAAAAACGCTCGGACAAGTCGATTAGTATTTTTAGTTTCGGATTTTTTAACAAAAGAAAACTGTATACAGGGTATGTCAAGAAGAAGTAGTCATCATTGTTTTTTTTAATGGAATACCTTTTATATTACGCCATTTTTTAATTATACGGTAATTTCTGAACACTTTTTGTATGACATACCATTTACCATTTACCATTTACCTAAAGGCGGACCAGCAGAAATATCAGAAGATTATAAACTTGACGTTTTACTAGAAACTGTAAATAATCCCCATGTAGCCGTTAGGACAATCTCCAGGAATTGTAATTTGTCACCGCGATCTGTGTCACAAATACTCCGAAAAAATAAATATCATCCTTACAAGGTTCAATTGATACATGAACCATTAGAAGACGATTTTGACCGAAGAACGCAATTTTGTGAGCAGATAATTGAGAAGAATAATAAAAACTTAGATTTCACCTGAAACATTATTTTTTCTGGTGAGGCTACTTTTCTTTGAAATGGACACGTAAACAGACAAAACTGCAAGTACTGCGCAACTGAACCTCGTTGGACACAAGTTCAAAAATAAATGTTTGGGCAGGTATTGTCGAAACCTGAAATCTTGGACTTAATTTTTTTGAAGAAAACTTAACTGGAGAACGCTACTTAGACTTTCTTCAGTTTAAACTCATCCCCGCTGTAGCTGTTAGGTTTCCTAATCCACAAGATCTAGATATTCCTCATAATGACATATGGTTCCATCATGATGGGGCACTTCCTCATTTTGTAGTGGCAGTTCGACAATTTCTTGATTTAACTTTCCCTAATAACCCCTTTAGATTTCTTCTTATGGAGTCATTTGAAATCTAAGGTTTATGTGAATAGACGAAATATTCTTAATGACCTGAAACAGAGAATACACCAGGAAATAAGACTTATTCCAGCAGAGGTAATTGAAAACGTTCAACGGGAAACAATCCTTCGACTACAAAAATGTATTGAAGTAAACGGACAAAACATTGAACATTTATTATAAAGCAATTGCTATTTAAATAATGTTTTATGATTAAACATTATTTTTTTTCCATTTATCACACTTCAAACGTCATTATTACGAAAACCGCTGATTTTAGAGATATGGTATGCCGTACAATAAGTGTCAAAATTTACTGTACAATTCAAAAATGGCATAATATACGGGGTATTCCTTTAAGAAAATCAATGATGACTGCATGTTTCTTATGTCAAAAAATCCGCAAAGAAAAATACCAATCGACTTGACCGAATTTGTTCCTTTGATCATGAACGCACTCTATAGTCAGTATAGATAAAAAAAGACCTAGGAAAATCGTAATTCATATGCAGGGGATCAACGAATTTTAAGCCATTGTTGTCGAACCTAATTTTGGATCCAAAGAATTAATTGAAGATGTTCCTATTAAACTGGGTTGTTAAACGGTGAAAATTCGATCGTGTATGGTAACTTTACAGATAGTA